GAGGCGCTGCCGCTCCTTGACCGCCGCCAACTCTTTGTCTGAAACGCTTGAGCATGTCAAGATGTACAACTTCTAAGCTAAACATACGAACTCTGTGGTATGATCTCTGCCAGAACCATGTTGAGCTGATTGACTTTCTCCATTGCTTGAGCATTTGGTAGGGAAAACTGCTCAAGCCGATCTTGGAGAGCCTCCTTTTCGGATATTACCCTGAGAAAGATTTCTAGCGATATTAAAGAAAAGAGCAAAAATTAGCAAACCTCTTCAGATGCATTTCCATCTGAACCAATGCTGATTTCTCTACGCCTTCTTGTCGCTCCTTCTCTCGTAAAAGATTCTCATAATCTTTCTCTATACGTTCATAAGCAGCTTCCATCTATAGAAAAGAAGAATATCAAAAAGAAAAGCATTGCTCAGTGTATAAAGAGAAGAAACTACCTGCTGGAGTTTTACGAGCTTTTTCTTGCTTGCCTCAATCTCCCTTTTTAGATGCAGATTTTCCTCCCGAAGCGATTGTATCAGCTTCTGGTTGTTTGGAACCTGAAGCGTCAACTTTTAGCAATTTTTAGTAGTGCTCCGTCAACTACCAATTATTGAGGCATAGAAAAAGGCTAGTGATTGAAGATAACAGGCACGAACACACAGACAGCAAAATCAAAAATTAGAAGAAAACGCACCCTTTGAATCCCATTGCTGCTCGATTGTCCTTCATGCTGTTCACACGAAGTAAACCCGGAAGTAATTCGATTTGAGAATTGGGTCACAGACTGATGAACATGACTAGCAGAACTGAACAAAGTGACATATTCAAAGCAAATTAGATAAAATTCTCAAGTGAAACTCACTAATCAGGTGGCTTGTCAGAGATTGCTATCAGACACGGTTGTGAATGACTCATGGGGTGTGATCGACCAGGTGAAGGAGCAACAGATACAGAAGCCACACCACTACAAAAAGCAAATTTAACTGAGTAAAGTGATGCCCTTGACCTATGAGCTGTGAAGAGTACCGAAAAAAGGAAAACAGAGCCTAGATAACTTACTGATTTTCTATCTTGTTAATATTATTCCTGGATTGAGTTTTCGTCTGCGATGAAGTTGGGGCTCGTTGTTGCTGCAATTTTACTTGACTCTGGTATTTCTCCAGCATCATTTGTAACTTCCT